CGGCACCTCCTATCAATATGCGCTTATAATTCTTTAGGTTAAACGTAATCGCTCATCACCTCGGGTTCTACACAGAACCGCTTACCTGCGCGGGCCCTGCACAGAACCGCTCATCTGCTCGTGGCCGGGGCGCTGGTTAGGTTATGTTGCCCCTCGTATTTACTATATCACCCAATATCGGAGGTTTTTACGGGCTATGGCAGTTTAAATATGATGTTCCAGTACAGACAAGAGAGCTTGTTGCATTTTTTGTTTCTAAATTGAAGCTCAGCACCTAGGAACATCCATTGAAATCTGGGAATCACCCGCCCGTATTTCAGAGAGATGAGCGGTTCTGAGTAGGACCCGCGCAGATGAGCGGTTCTGTTTAGAGCCCTTAGTAATGAGCGGGTCTGTGTGGACTAAAAACAAATAAGCGCATATTGATAGGAGGTACCGATCAGTTACGTTTTTCATCACAGGTACGCCCGCAAGTGGTTTCCTCTGAGAGATCGAGCAAACAACCTTATACTCTTGCTACAGCAGTCCGGCTTGCTACCGCTGTGGACGCAAACACTTAGCAACAATTTGAGTGCCGTACAATCGTTAAGCCGCCGAAGGAGAAAATGCCAAAACGGGGAAGCTTGCAGCATTAGTTTTGCGGTAGGTTTAAAAGGTATAGTGGTATGACCACCTACTTCAGGCGCGTGTCTTCACGATGCCTCAACATGTGTCAGCACGGCACCACTACAGTCAGTCGTGTGTGGCATTATAAAAAGTCCCCTAAGAGACTGTCCCTACTAGAAGTCTCGTTCCACCACTGCCCCCCCCCCTTTCCCCTCGCTCTCTACAGCACAGAGCGGGCAGCCTGACGTGTGTTGGTGGGTATGTATACTAGATTTAGGGCTGGCGTAGCGCTGGCGCTCTTTCGCACCGCTGCTCACTCGCACCGCGCAAAGCGGACGCCTCGAGGGAGCTCGCAGGGCAGCGATGGCTGCAGTTTGCCGCTGCACCGCGCAACGCCAACGCTTCGCTCAAGACTGTGCGCATTATGGCTTCGTGGCCTGAGAGAGGGGACTGTCTTTTGCTTAGCCCTGTGGGCTCACTTTTCTACGATTCGAGGGTTTTAATAGTGCTTTCCAGGCGCAATTTTTGATTAAAACTGCTGTAATATTCGTTTTTCCTGTCAAGTTTTATACAACACTGCCTTGCCTTTTATTCTGACTTGCAGAGGGTGGCAAACAACATATATTTTGTGCAAAGTGAAAACTGATAGATATTAAAGCCTTCTCCGTGAAGCGTTCCCCAAAGGACCGTGGGGCTGTATGTTAAGTCAAGAAAAATACACCCAAAATTAAGGTCTTTAAAACCTAAACAAGCAGGCCCACCCTTAGACCAAACGAAGTTGCCAGCTCTGCTTCGCTCTGCCGGCAACTCCATTCGGCAGGAGCCGGGCCTACTTGGCCTGCCGGTAGCGATGGTCGGGCCTGCGGCCCGACCATTTCTGTCACGCGATTTGCTGAAGAACATGATAGAATGATGTAGTGGTCCTTCAGCCCGCTTATATAAACCCGTCGTCTTTGACTTTGCCCCAACGATTCGAAGAGGGGTGTAACGGTGAAGCACCGTGACTGCAACCAATTCTTCTGCTTAGAAAACGTTTTTTGGGGGTGAGGGGAGAGTTTCCTTTCTGTTTTTAGGCCTTTTCTACAACTTATTGTTCACTATGGCAATTTAAAGCTGATTTTCGTCAAAAAAAAAGACCGTCTAGCACCTAAACGGTAAGAGATAGAGCGAAAAAGACGAAAATTTCGGCCATAAGGCTCTATTTTGACGAGTTGCCCTTTACAAGAACACAAGAAAATACTTTTTGGGGGAATTTCTAAACCTTGGATACCCCCATTCACACCCTAAGGGGTGGTTGCCAGGATTCGCGCTCTAGGAGTGGACCTTAAGATACCCCGAAAATTTCAAGTCTCTAGCACATCTCCTTCTAGGGGAACAGACAGACACGAGGTCGTTTGGATAAGAACGCTGGATAGCTTTTTCAAAGCAGAAGGGTGGGCTAAAAAGGGTTATTTTCACTTCGCACAAAATGTATGTTTTCAAGCCATCCCCTTGCAAGTCAGTATGAAAGGCGAGGTAGGGTTATGAAGACGTTCGAGAAAAAAAATAACAAAAATGTTACAGCAGTTTGCATTGAAAACGGCGCCAGGAAAGCAGTATTATTACCTCAATGGCATACATAGATCAACTCGATCAGTAGACGGATAAATAGAAGCAAAGGACATGTCCTTGCAAGAAAGTAGAGATTAGTTTTTCTTACTCTTATAATCCTATACTTTAAAAATGAAAAAATGTTTCCTTTATATTTTTAACATTAACAAACGAGGCTCTCTCTTCCACCGAACCAAGTTGCCAGCTCCGATTCACTCCACTGGCAACTTGGTTGAGCAGGAAGCGCGCTTTGCTTGGCCTTCCAGTGGCGTTTGGTACGGGCCTCCGGCCCGTCCCTTCAGATGTTTTCATAGTTCTGTATAACATAACATCAGAAAACGGGCCTCTGGCCGGTTCTGGTGGGAACTCGGTTCGAACCACCTAACTGCCAGGTACATTTGATTTCTTAAATAAAGCGTAACAACTAAACGATTCTCTTAATGCGCCGTACATTGTTAACTGTTTGTGCCGTAGTTTAATAAAGGCCTATGCAAAATTTTCAAAATACATCCTAAGTGACGTTAGCTTGGAAACTCTAGGACACACCTCTTCACTGTAAAAAATATCGTCCTTAATTTACAAAAAAAAATGTTAACTTGAAGTAGAAGTTGTAAACTTACGACGGCACAATTTTTACTTGCTAAGGGATTTGAAATCGATACATACTGCATGTATTTTTACGACTACAAATTGTAATTTTACAATTTGCGTCAAGGAAAATTTTCATGTAAACCTCCCTACGTTTTTTCACAGTGTTCAAATCAGTTAAGCCTGAGGCTCTAAAGAAAAAGGGTATCCCGGACAAGCGAAGCGCTGGCAACTAGAGACGAGGTTAGCGCTGGTCAAATCTCAGCTTTCGCGCCTTCTAGATCCGGTCGTCTGCTGTTAACTGCACGCTGGCGTAAAGTTAGGTGGGGGGTCTGGATTTCAATCTCGATTCCTATAATAAAAATAGTATTCAAATTAGTTTCGCTGGCATAATAACACGTAATCGTACTAATCTGAAGCATGATGTCGTAGCTAACAAACGCGACAGAGCAATGGACAGGTACGCACCGATACAGAAGCCATGAGGTTGAGAGCGGACCAGCGCCATCTTTGCTCCCCATTTCCGGCACTAACCTTACCCGGAATACCCCATAAAACTTACACGCAGGTATATTTTAAAATGACTCCGAACTTGAAATACAACAAAAAACAAAAACAAAACTAGTTTCTTGTGCCGTGGAAGAGAACACATTTCGTTAATGACGTGCCACTAGAAAATAAGCCCACTCTTCTGCTTAGAAGAAAATTTTGAACTAATGGCTCTACTAAGACACACTCCTGACAAAAATAGTTGTTGTTTTTTGGGGGGAAGGGGGCTGTTTTGCTTTGGTAAGAAACACTCCATTAAGTGTTCAAACAGTGAAAGATGGAGGCAAACAAACGAAGTTTTTGCCAAGGATTGTTTTTAAATGAGGGACTCCCTAGGAAGCTATATCAAATTTTAAAAAAACAATCATTTCGTTTTGTGGCCGTATTCAAGAGACACCCTTTAGCGCCTAAGCAGTGAGAGATAGAGCCGAATAAAGTTATAGCTAGTAGGGTTCTACTTTCGTGATTTACTTTTCAGAAGGATATTTAACGGACCCGAATCAAAAATTTTGTTTTAGGGCCCTTTCTTTTAAAGAAACACACGTTACAAGACAAATACGTTTTGACACTTCAAAAGAAATTTCGACGCATGGCTTTTCCTCCGCCAGGTTACTCCTTATAGGCGACTGTGAAGAATTGCGGGAAGCTTGAACGTAAAAGAATGTGGGCAAGAAGAAAACGGAAATCGCTATGCTTTAGCATGCTGACCTCCGTTTTCTTGTTCCCTGCATTCTTCTGCATCTTAACTTTACCGGAATTAGTACTAGCGGCACAACGCCGATATCAAAAATAACCTTCAAATTGTGATACCAGCAAGCCACTTTGCACACTTGTTCTTAACACCCAAATGGTCGTACCTATCTGAAATATGCTGTGGGGGTGGGTTTTTGGGGGGTGGTGTTAAAAACTACCCTTAAAATTGAAAGACGTTGAAATAAAGCCATGGGCGCGATCTAAGAGTCGATTCCAGCTAAATCAGACCCGCCGAACTCAAAAATGGCAAGATAAAATCTTTCCGGTCAATATTTGGCCATATTTTGGGCCATTTTGATCAATTTAGGGCCTTAATGACTTTTAACGGTTCTCGGCATGATGGGTATCGATTCTTGGGTTTTGAAGGCCTGAAAACCGGTAGGAATGATAAAAATGACGCCTGGGTACTTACCCCACGCTGTCTGACCCGGAGGGTACCATCGGGCACCGTGAGAAAGATACCCCATAATATCGATTCCGACTCAATTAGACTCGATGAACTCCAAAATATCAAAATGATTTTTTTCCGGCGGATATTTGATCATTCTGTACAAGATTTAACACACATTTTTCTGAAATTAGGACCGAAATGCATTTTTTTATGAATTTGGCATGATGGGTATCGATTTCGGCAATGGGAGAGTGAACTATGCGTTTAAGATGTTTAAAATGATACTGGAGTACTTTTATAACGGTGCCTGACGCATCAGGTACTTTTTTATCACGGTGCCGTACGCATGAGGTACCGTTACGCACCGTGAGAAAAGCACCCATCAGATAGTCGTCTTGCCAACAGAACTTCAGTCGTAATTCAGGGGTCGAGTCGAGATAAATTAGACCAAACATGAAGCATTAAAGGTTTCGTGCTGCAATATTAAGTTGTGGTTTAAAGGCGTTTGGAAAGCGCACCCGACCTTAAATGTTATTTGAATATATTTGTCTTCGCTATAAAAGGTCCGAATACATAAAATGTACATGTATGTCTTGCTGCCCCTAATCATCACCTAAGACATCATCTCTCTCAGTCTAGTGAGTAGCTTTTCTGAAAATAAGGCAATGGCTTACTACTTCTGGTTTGTCTTATTTTTTTTTATGTTTTTGTTTTTATTTAGTATTCTTTTCATACGCTGAACATGTTTGACTGTGAGTGCCGCAGTTTGTAGAATACATGCAAGTTATGCCAAATCCCTTCTAAGTAATTGATGTTAGCTTATGAATCATGAATCAAATAACACACCTATGAAAAGATACATAAGACTAGCACTAGAAGAAGTTAAATGTACTTCCATGAATACCCCGAATGACACCGAATGTGTTCGAACAACAAATAAATGTATTTTTGATGTGTTTTTTTTTTGCTTTTTTGCATGGAAGTGTACACGTTTTATTAATGATGTCCCACCATAAAATAAGCCCACTCTTCTGCTTAGAAGAAAATTTTGAGCCGACGGCATACTTTTCAGACAGCAGTGTACTTCTAACAAAGTAAAAATATTTCTGTTTTGGCCAGTTTGGTAAGAAAAACTCCCTTTTGTAGGTAAACAGGACAAAATTTTCACCCAAAGGGCTCTACTTTCACGAGTTACCCCTAAGGAGACCATCAAATATTTTCTAAAATTTATATATTTATTTTTGGGCCACTTTCGTGAGAGAAACTCGCTTTAGCGCCTAAACGGTGAGAGACAGAGCCAAATGGACGAAATTTTCGCCCATAGGGCTCTACTTTCACGAGTTACCCCTTAGGAGAGGAGACCATAAAAAAAATATTTTTTTTCCACTTCTTGGACCAACCCCTATTTCTTTGTTACCCCCTCAGACCCACTCAGGGGTAGTTGTCAGGATTTGCACCAACCGTTTCGTTGACTAGAAGTGACAACAACTATACCCTGAAAATTTC